GGCCAGGGGCGGGGGTCGAGCCGTGAGTGCTCCGCCGGGGCGAGCTTCTGGGTCCATGGCACCGCTGCCGGACCCGTCCGAGAGCCTTTCCGGACACGTTCGCTCGATGGCCTAGCTGGCGGCCGATATTCGACAACCAAAGCTCCGGACGCCGCGGCCAAAGATCCGCGCACAGTCCCAGGGCTCGTGGTGAGTGTGGGGTGTGCCTCACGAGGCGGAGAGGCCGCGTGAACTCCCGTAGAAGCTCGCGAAGTGCGGATTTGGAGCGCCGCGCCGGACCTCCGCCGGGGCCCGCCGGGGCCGCGGGAGAGGTCAGAAATCGTTTTGGGGGGTAGACTACTACAAACCGGTCACGGTCCCGTCCAGTTTAGTCCCTTGGCCGGCCCTGGGCCGCTCGGCACCGCGCGGGGGTGCCGTTAAGCGACCCTACGGATTTTCAGTGGTCGATTTTGGCCAAAAAGCCCAATGTGGGGTGTGTATTCACACCTCGAAAATGGAAAATCGTTTCACAGAAGGTACACCCCTCCCTACGGCTATCCCCTACGGCTATCCCTTTTTGGCCTATACCTGCTGCCGCCACGAATACACACACACCACCGGATACGGCTCAACATAGCGGCGCTGCGCACAGGCAGCATCTTGCGAACGAACGCTGTCGTTTGGCGGCTGAGAGTGACTGAGTGAGTCTGGGGCGGGATTTCGCTCAGGCGAGCTCTTGGGACTCGTCCTGATTACCTCCGTCCTCGGCTGCTGAAGAGCGACGCGTCGGGAAGATCACCTGATCGGGGCGCAGCAGCCGGCTGCTTTCAGTAGCCGCCGTGCAGGGCACCACAATCCATGGGGGCGAACGCCGACTAATGGCGTACGGGCGTACCTCGGTCGCCCCGCACTGCCACGCGAAACTCACCGCACCGCCGCACAGCGGGCAGCACGGGTGGGGATGTGCGAACAGCTGGTCCACCTCCGTGCGTCGCACCCAGTGCCGGCCTGGGGCGAGGGGGGGAGGGAGCGCTGGCTGCAAGAAACGCAGGGGAATGGCGGGGTGAAAGAGCACGCACAGTTCTCCATGAGGCAGTAGGCCGTGGGGTCGCGCGACGCGTGGCTGTCGTCTTCGGGGCGGATGCCGTCTCTGACCCGCAGCGACAGCTCAAGCGGCGGAAATTCGGGCTCCGTCTCCGCGTAGCACGCCATCATGAGCAGGATCACCAGCGCGATTGCCGGCTTGTCGAGCGGCGCCTGATAAGCCCACGCGTCGAAGCGGCAGCAGCGCGCGAGGTGCTCGCGCTCTCCCTCGTCCTGCTGCCGGACGAAGCACCGCGCGAGGGCGGTCAGCAGCGCCCAGCGCGGCGTGTCTGGCTTGAGCAGGGAGCGGTGTCCGTTCGGCACGATGAAGCGAGTGGCGCGCCGCGAGCTCGCCCGGTTGCCGGCGAAGGGTAAGATGTGCACGGATTGGACGGCGCGAGCAGTGCTCTCGAGCAGATCCGGTCGGCCGGCGATGATTCGCCAGCGCTCTGCGGTCGCCTTGTCGACCCCACCGAGCGCGCGACCGACGGCCAGGCTCTCGCTGCGGATGCCCGGCCGGGTGGCAGGCCCTTGGAGCTGCGGAGGAAGAGACAGCCGCCGGAGGGCGCTCGGCACGTCAAACGCAGGAGGCGGAAGCAACGGGCCGAGGAAGGTGTGCTTGGCCACGAGCTCCTCGAGAGGCGGAGATGTGGGCATGTATGCACGTCGCTGAAAAAAGAAGAGCCGATTTGAGTTGTTCTCGAATGCCGGAATTCGGCGATGTGCATCTTGATCTTGATCTGGATCTTCATCTTGATCTTGATCTTCGATCGTCGGCGGTCTCGCGACGGCGGCGCCCACAGCCGCCGAGCGGGCCAGTTCATCCCCGCACACGGCCCTGGAGTCTTGCGCGGTCGATACACGCGCTCGGAGCCGCGGCGGTGGCGACCCGCGGTGCGCCGGCCGATCGGCGGGATCCACTCGCACACCCTGAACCTCCTACGCGCCGCCCGTGCAGGGGCTGCGCTCTCTCGGCGGGCGGGCTGGTGCCGGCCGGGACCGACCGCGCTGGGCAGGGACCGGCCGCGTCGTCCGCTCCGCGGCCGCTGCAGCATTGCCGGGATCGGCGAGCGCTCCTGCGAGGCGCCTCTGCCGCTCTCATTCTCGAGGTGGGCGGCCGGCGAGTCGTCGCCAATCGCCCGCGTCTTTGTGGCCGCGGGTCTCATTGCGGAGCGCGCGTATGCGGCACGAGGCAGACTTTCTCGGATGGTCCCGCCTGGGGTTCGGCCCGTGTGTGCGCGGCGGCACGCGAAAAGATAGGGTGCGCAAGCACATATCACACGTCTCAATCGGGTCTCGTAGTCTTTGGACAAACATAGTGTGCGTAAAACAGGGACACGTTCCCACAGACGCATGCAACAGAGTGGGACGGAGGCACACCTCTCGCCTCTCGCGGCGCTCGCAGACCTAGCTGGTCCTGTACGAGCGCGGCACATACACATGCGAGATACCCGGGTACGTCCCACAAACGAGCGGGGACAGAAAGGAAACCCACAAATGCCGGTACAGAGCATACGCGGGCGCATGCACGCGCGCGGCGAACGTTCAGTGGCCGCCGCCCGCCGCGCATCGCCTCCGCTGCCACTCCCACCGCAGCCTGCTGCTGCCGGCTGCCGGCCGCCAGGGCGGCGCTGCTGCTGCTGCTGCTGCTGCTGCGGCTGCGGCCGAGCGGCGGGCGGCCCGATGACAGCGCGGCCATCTGCCTCCTGCCTCGCTGCCGCCGCGGCGTCCAGCACCTTGTCTGCTCCCAAGACCAGGTGGAGCTTCTTCTTGGAGACGGCGTGCTGCCTATAGGGTGCATCGCACCTCTCGTGCCTCTCGTCTCCTATAAGGAGGGAAGAGCAATCCTCCCCCCTCACCACTGCGCAGCGGTGGTAATAGCGAAGTGCTGCTTCGTGTTTACAACGCTGCCCACCTGTGTCCAGCCCGGCGGTCGGTGATGGAAGTGCAGCGGCTGGCTGCTGGGAGAGAGGGAGGGGGCACGCCAGGCGAACGCGCAGGTCGTAGCCGGGGCAATGGAGTAGCTGCACGAAGTTGTCGCAGAGGATGGACTGCGTCGCGTTCTCGTCCGGAATGACCATGTCCGACACCGTGACTGCAAGAGGAGGGGGTCACCTTATGGTGGTCGTAGGGTGTGGAGGGTGGTGGTGGTGGTGGTGGTGGTGGTGGTGGTGTGTTTGGGGGGGGGGGGATGGGCGCGCCCTGTGTGGTGCCGCAAGGGGAGGTGGTGCCGGGCTCGGCCGGCTCCGTGAACTGGTATGAGATCAAGACGAGCGTGGGGGGGTCGTCTGCGCCCGCCGCCCGCTTGCGCCCGCCTACCCCCCGCCCGCCTCCCCCCCGCGCGTCGAGGCCTTCAGGCCGCGGCTCCGCCCTCTGAAGCAGGTCGACGCAGATGATGCTCTCCAGCACGTCCTCGGCGTCGAGCTTGATCGGCGTCGCCTGAAAGGAAGGGTGTGTGGGGTGGCGATGGGGCCTGGGTCGGGCCGGGTGGGTGAAGTGCGCGGGGAGGGGCGGGGGGAGAGGCGGATCGAGACCTCCACGTCGGAGTCCGACTCCGACTCGAGCGGCACAAACAGGAAGGCCTTCTTGTCGCCGTCCTCGACCTCCTCGCGTTCCCGCTCGCGCAGCTCGCCCGCGCACAACTCGCCGTTCACAGGGGCAAGCGACTCGAGCGGGAAGTTGACGCTGGTCAGGTCTCCGTCTCGTTCCTCGACGACGTCGGCGTAGGTGCGCGCCAGCTCTGTCAGCTTTTCCACGAGCTTTTTATGGCTGAGGGATTGAAGGGCGCCCTGGTCCTTGCCAACCGCCTGCGCGACCTCGTAGATCTTGTCCATGAGCTGCGTCCTGGTCCACTTGCTCTTTTGCGACCAGCGCTGCGCTAGCAGCATGAGCGTCGACTCGAGCAGCATATCGGGCGGCTTGCCAGGGCCTGGCGGGCGGCCTGGCGGGAAAAAAATCGATTGCGGCAAAGAGAGAGAGAGAGAGCGCCTGTTCACGGCATGGAGGGTGAGCCACACCGAACGTACCGAGCGAAGAGCCGAGCGGAAGGAGGACGGGGAAGATGACCCCGAGGAGGACGAACCAGTGGAAATCCAGTTGTCAGATGTCACGATGCATCCGAAGGGTACCCCAGCTCCGGCATCATCCGTCATGACCTGTAGGCAAATGATCGGTGTGGGAGTCAGAAATATGGTCCTTGCGCGAGGGGAGCTCGATAGACTCGAGGGGCCAGGATACGCCGCGAGGAGGACGGAGTTGCGCCGAAAGGCGAAAGAAGCCGCGAGAACAAGGGACCGGCAGGCGGCGGCGGCACAGGACGAGGCAGAAGAGAACGACGCGACAGAGGAGGAAATGACAAGGGAGAGAACGACGAGAGTGGGACGACCGCGAGGTGGCATGAAGGTTGCAGCGAGAAGCGGCGAGAGACTGCGAAGAGAGATAGGAAGAGGCAGACTCCCTAGGGTGGGCGACGGCTAGCGCACCACACACCTCTCCTTAAAATCCCTGTGTGGTGGCGGCGTGCCGTCCTCCCATCCCTCTCTTGGGTTGTCTGTTTTCTTTCTTTCTTTTCTTTACGCCCTGCTGAGGATAGGCCCTGTGCCTCTGTGTTCGTGCGTCGCCCATCTCTCCTGGAACTCTATTTATTCATTAATTACCCGTCCCGTCCCTAGGGAAAAAAGAGGCGGGCGCATTGTTTGGGCTTCCTAGGCCGATGGCCGTGCGGCGCATTGTTTGGGCTTCCTAGGCCGATGGCCGTGTGTGCTGCCGTTGATCGCCGAGTGGCCTCTAGCGCCGCCGGAGTGTGCCTCACACGCACCGCCACCGGTGCCGAACCCAGCCGCACGTGAGTGAGCGAGAGCAGAGCGAGAGGCGAAGCAGACAGAGAGGCCGGGCGGTGCACTGGTGGGTGGAACTCTCGCGGGCCGACCCTCTCACACAGACAGACTCGCAGACCAGAGACACACGGGAAGGCAGCAAAATGGCGCACACTGACAGAGAGAGAGAGAGAGAGGGAGGGAGAGAGGGAGCGGGAGGGAGAGAGGGAGAGAGGGAGAGAGGGAGAGAGGGAGGGAGACAGGGAGAGAGATGAACGTGAGAGAGATCCCACCACAGTCCACACACACACAACGGTACAAATACGGGCAAGGCATTTCTAGGCCTCCGTCGGTTTATGAAAATTCGGTTTTGTGTGGGCTTGTGTGGTGCTCTGCTAGGGAGGTCAAATGGATCGACGGGTGCGTCGTCTCGGCATGAGCAGCATTCGCCTGCGCAGTGGTTGGGAGGGGGGGGGGGGGGGGAGTCTC